TTGTCCATTTGGAAAGCTTGAGTTTCATCCAGTTTTGCAGCTCTGCAGTCAGGGACTCATTGTCTCAGTCTCACGGCAGGGGTCCCCTCAGTCTCACCCCCAGGGCATGGTTCTCATCCAGTTTGGCTCTGTATGTTCTAAAACTTAAGAGAAATGTGTTGCAAAAGTTCTTTTGGCAGCAGTTCGGTTCTGAAAAGTTTTGACTTATCCTTGATGGTTCTGAGGATCTGTTTCCAATGGGGCCCGCATCTCTACTGTGGGCCACAGTGGGCCCCAGCTTTGAGCGCATGAGCAGAAGAGGCAAGGAGAGAGGTGCTGCAGCAGAAGAGGCAAAAGAGAGGTGCTGGAGCAGAAGAGGGAGATAGAGGCAGAATCCTGTGTGCTCTGTGGTTTTCTCTGTCCTCACAGGGAGGGGGGGTAGGTTTTCACACCTCTGCTGGTTTCCATGTGACTGCTTTGGCTGAAAAAGGGGGGGCTCCGAAGTCCCCCAGCTGTTACTTACCAAAGCTGCATTTTCTTCTCTGGTCATCCTATCAGGATGAAATATGGACACTGGTTCCCATTGTCCAAAAAGTATGATCATGGCATATGGCACAACAACAATAAACCAGGGGTAACCAATTAGAAATCAGCGGAGTCCGCATGAGGAAAATCAGTAAAGGTCCTGAGACATTTTTAATAATCTGCTTACTTTAAACAGAATTTGAGAAACTGAAATAAAATGAGGTGTTTATGCATTTATGTTATACATTGAATTTGTAAATAAAAACATATTTTAAAAAAATAGAACATTTAAAATTCTAAAGTGTTTTTTGAGGTGAAGAACAGTTTGGTATATAGACAATTTCCTGATTTACATATTTTATAAAACACCTGAACTGACTGTTATCTTTTTTCTGGCTTAATGAGAGCAGTGGGTTTTAGGCTGCCCTGCAAGGCTTTCAACCTGGGTTTGAATAGAGACTAAGCCATTCTCAAGCACACATCAAGGTGCTCATTTTGAGCCTGGATCCATATTTATTTTTGATTATGTTCATGATGGAGAATCCTGCTTCACAGCAGCAGCTTGAGCCAAATGAAATGTTCAGGCTCCGCTCTGGTCTGGCCAGGTCAAGATCCACTATTGTAATCGCACCAAACAGGAAAAAAAATACAGAGAAGATCCGGTTTGTCAAATTAAAATATAGTAACAACAGATCGGTGATTACAAATTAGAGCATAATTTTTCTATATTTAAAAAAACTAACACCCTTTATTTAAATGATTGGATGCAAACTATTGGTACTTCAACAGACCAGGAAGCAGATTTCTCATCTCCATCAGAAACCGAACATATGCTGATGGGGATTTTTTTTTAAAATGTCATATTAAATTAAGAGTGCATTTCTGCATTTTTTACTCTCCTCGAGTTTTGAGGATAGGCTGTTCCTCCCGTATTGATGCGCCCATATTGATGAGCTCCTAGTTAAAGCCCTGTAGAGGCCTGTTGGTATTTAAAAAGATAAATAAAAAAATCTAAATAATTTGCTTCATCCAGACAATTCATTTCTTTGTGGACTCGTTGCTGCACCAACTTGTTGTTCGCCACAAACCAAAATAAATCATTCTTTAAGATGATGTAAAGATAAAGTTGACACTGTTACCATTAGTTATAAAACTAAGAAACTAAAGTATAAGGAAGTTATCTTCCAGTATTATAGAAAAATGCTCCTTTAATTGGTAGCACAGTAACCAGTATAATGTTTAAAACTTCTGTCCTTAACATTTTTTCCTGTATTACTTTTATACTTTAACTAGTTTTAAAAATGCTGCTTTAAAACTTTTACATGAATATCAGAATGATTTATACTTCTACTTGAGTAATAAACACGAATACTTTTGACACATCTTTTGAAAACATCGGAAATAAAGACTATTATTAGAATTTATAAGAAAATGAAGCAGCAATTTACTCTTTTTAAGAAATCTGCTCTTGATCCCAATACTCCTGAAAATTAAAGGCCATTATCCAAACTCTCAACAATCTAGAAAAAGTGGTTTAAAAAAACAACTAGATATTTTTTAGAAGAAAATAATGTTCAGTTCAGTTCAGTTCAGTTTATTTATATAACACCAATTCACAACACCTGTCATCTCAAGGCACTTTACAGTTCAACCAGATCATACAGTCAAATTGATACAAAGTTTTCTATCTAAGGAAAACCAGTTG